GACTCCCCACACAAAACCCACTCCCTCGACATAAAAAACACAATAAACACATATACAAAATATACAATTCAACCGATTGTTCAAAATTTCTGCAAAATTAAATTGTTGCAATGTAATCAAAGTCATTCAGAGTGGTTTGATGTGAAATGCTAGTTACACTTGCTGAGTCAGAATTGTTCACAGTGGTGGTGACAGGAACCAGCATTTAATGGAGCATCATCAAGGAAATGTCTTGCATGAAATGGATATAAAAACACTACCTGATAGCTGAGACATCGTTTACGATAGTTTTGAGATCATTTTACCATTGATAACATGACACATACAAGTAGGTTCATTGGTTACTTTAGATAGTAAATAGAATAGCTATATTTGCATTATAGACAGCACGACCTATCACCTATCACCATCACAGTAAAGAAATCCAAGTCAGTCCGTCTCTACAATGCACCGTATCAAATCAAACCATTCTAAATGACTGACTACATGTAAATGGTTGAATTATTTGGGTATTTTAAAAATTAAATTTCCCCTTAAGCTCAGTAACCAAAAAGAAATGGCTTTTGTAAAAAAAAAAAAAATCAGGATCATTTTGTTGACCCAGATATTATGGGTTAGTACTGCTTTTTCTCTTTTTTTCCTAGAAAATCAGAAGATTTGTGTCCTGAAATTACATATAAAACACACACACACACACACACACACCTCTGAGCTCTACTTCATACCATATGACTGCAGCTTGGCTGTCCCTTATGACAGCAGTGTGTATTGATGGTTAGTTGAATAAGCTGCTCACTGACACTCTAACGACAGTGATGCTCTCATGCGACAGTGCTGACACACACCGTATTGCGTATGTGTGTGTGTGTTTTTGTGCATGTGTGTGTATGAGGTGAGTCAGTGGCTGCTATTGACCCTTCTGCAGTGATCTGAGAAGGACACATCTTCTCTGCTCTTTATCAATCACCCTGCGTACTTATGTTGATTTTGACATTTCTCATTTCCCACAGGTGCCAGAGGTGTATGGGTGTGTGTGTATGTATACAAATTATTCATTAGATATTAACTCTTCACACACACAGAGACACGCACGCACACATGGGTACTAGGTGTATATATCTTGTATCTCCAACACACACACACATACATGCTCTTACATAGCTTTTAGTCCCAAACAGATGCACATCTATGCACTTCGTCTCCATCCTCTGTACAGTGGGAGAGCATTAGCAGAAGGAGGATGAAAAAAAGTTCATCAGAAAAGCAGGGGTGTGACTAGGTCCGGGCTGGGGCTATTAAAAAATGTTTTTTTTAATAGCCCCAGATTCTTTTCTATGATTGAAATAAGAATCATATAATATTTATAGTAAAAGAGTCAACTCTAAGCATCTCAAGACATGTTGGAGTCAAAGAATCGACTCGTGTGGAATTAACCCTCCATCAATAGCTGGTGGACATTGTTAGTGCTAAGAAGACACCAGTGTGAATGGTAGTACGAGTGCATTGCTGCAATAAAAGTTTGAAAAGAAGTGAGAAAAACAGCTAAATACCCTCCTTAAGCATTTTACTTTTGTGGTGTTTTACAGTTTAACAATGTCTTAAGCCTTATTTGATCTGGATTAGTTTTACATGGGAAGGTGCTGTAATTTGAGTGATAGTAATGGTCGTCCTGTTCGAACTGACTTCACAGTAATGTAATAACAAAACCGGGTAACAGAAAATGGTTCTTCCATTTTTTTCTTTTTTTTATCTGACGTGAAGACTAACAGCTAAAATGGAGCTTGACTTATCCCTTTTTCTTAATCCTCAATTTCATGACAAGCCTACTAAAATCCACAACATTTTTGGTAACAGCTGAATTACAAGAAGAAAGAAAATAATATACCTAGAAAGCACCTCTCACAAGGCATTTCATTTTCTGTCTTGTTGAACGATATTTGGTAAGTTAAGTAAACCCATTTTACTAGCCTAATGCTGGTCTATATGCCATTTAGCTGCACAATGTGTTGTTATTGTTTGAAAGTGTGGCACCTGTCTCATAATACTGACGTAAACATCTGCACAATGATGTTTTAATCCAGGCTGTTTGGGGTAATTTGGGGAAATTACACAGTTACTTTGTGTGGGGTGAATTGGCCAGTCAAATCACACACAAATCACATCACATTGCTACTCATATAACACATGTTAGTTTGTTTAATGAGTAGTAGCACTAATGGTCAACAGACTTTAATGTTAGGCTGGCTAATAGTAACGTTTGCTTATGCTAGAAAAAAAAAACAAAACAACATTAACATTAATGATTTATTAACATTAATGATATTATTTTACTCATAACGTCACTACAAACTTAAATGCACCATTGTGACATAAGCTCATTAACTGCTACCATACCATACTAGCTAGCATGTATATTTTAAAACAATTAATTAATGTTGCAGCAACAGAGGATAGAAGAGGTTGGAGAGGAGCTTAGCACAAAAGCAGCTAAGAAAGGACACAAACTGACTATACAAGCAAGAGAACCAGCAGAGGAGATAAAAGCTGGCAGAGAGAAACAGAGGGAGACAAAATAATGTAATATGCATATTAGTGTGCATTACATGGGCATACGTTTAGTTTGAACTGGCAAGCTGTTTTTACGGTGCATAGTGGAAGCACGCTGGAATCTTGAGGAGAGGCTGAGTAGTCTGTAAAACTAGACTGTGTTGGTACAGTCTAGTGACGTCTCTGCAGAAGAGCAAGAACTGCAGGCTGATCAAAGGAGCAGTTAAAATGGCAGTTACAGGTATAAAGCATTATTTTATCTTCATAATATTATCTTTTAGTTTTCTATGACCACATGTGATGCAAACATGCAGGTTTGTAGAAAATACAACCCACCAAAAACTCGGTCATCCTGTGGCAATTTTATTGTAATCTAGATGCAAGAGTTTTATCACTGAGAAGACAGGAAAGTTTTGTTACAGTCCCTCTGATAACCTAATCCAGTCTGTATAGGGCTTTATATTAGTTGTTAGTGCCTATTACTGCAGATGTTGAATGACCACATATGCAATGGGATGCATTCTTAAAGAGATTATCAGTGCTTAATCAGCATGATTTCCAGTGCTGCGGTGATGTGTACATGCCTGACACATTAAGTTACTGAGGTGAAATCTAAGTTGGTAGTTCACTCATTGAAACAGATCTTGAAACATGTAAAACATTTATTAAATACATTGACCAGAAGATCAGTCTCAGGGCCTTCTGGAGTCTATGTGTGCATCAGTGGCATAGCTAGAATTTCATTTTAGGAGGGCCTGGTTACAGGTTGGGTGGACCAACTAGTAAGCAATAAGGCCTAGAGACATGAGTATAATGAGGATGAAAACTACCAGCTAGCCATCTCCATCATAGCTAAAACATTTTTGAATATTAAACACAACACATAATTGTTTGTCACATTTAACTGCTAACATTAGTTTCTGTAACAGCTGACAGCAAACCACAGAAGATATTGGCTAATCAACCCCAGGCTTCCCTTTTACAGCATTAGGTGTAGATGTCTAGGGCGAATAGTTAAAGATTGTGATGATCTGAACCCTTTTTCACAGTGTTGATCTTGTTTTTTGTGGTCAAGTCCTACTACTTGCTAACTAGGTAAGCAGCTTACAGTAACTGCATTGCATTGCTCAGCTTAGTTCTCCATCAAGTGGTAGTGCTATTTCTGTGTTTACATGTTGGAGTGGAGTTAAAAAAAAACATATTTGTGTGGCCAACAGTGGCATGCAGCAATGTAAACGGTGCCGTGGCGATAGCATCTGCTGAAGATTTGTGAGGATCTAAAGAGAGTTTTATTTTATTTATTTGTCGACAGAAAGTCGTGAGAAAAATAAAACAGCTCCTTTGCCCATGATGATCTTACATTAAGTAATATGTTCACTGGCTTGTTTTTAACTGTCAGAAGTCTAAGGGGCCTGGCTTTCAAACGAGGGTGCTTAGGCCCCAGGCCCCCCTGCAGCTGTGCACATGCCTGCGTAGGTGCAAAGTATTGGTATATGTACACATGCAAACACGCACACACATTAATCCTTCCTCTTATTTAGCTGATCAGAATTTTTTTTTACCCACACTTACACTCCATTTTTTAAAAGACTTAATTGAAAAGTTGCTGCACACTCGATATAATGTGTGAGAATGAGAATGAGGAGCAGGAAAAGACTGACTTATCTACTTTCCAGGCTGAAGAGAGTGTAATCCACCCAGTGTGAGAGATGATGATGATGGAATTGGACAAGATTAGTTCTTTTTCTATCACTTTCTCTTTTTCCACTGCTTTCAGTTAAAGCCGATTTGTGAAGACATAGTCATGGAGCTGTCCATTATATTTCGATGGGATCTCTCTTCACATATCTCCTGATTTGCTGTCAGAGGATATTGGAGTTCAGTTGAGGTCTAAAGTCTTTTGAGGAGCTGCTGAAATCTGCAGTGCTCCCATGGAGATGCGTTGCCTTTGGCAATTTGGCACTCCTGCTGAAGTCAACATGTCACTCAAGACTTTTCTCATGCCTTACAGCTTCAGTCAACATTCTTCCCAGAAAACACAGGCACAACACTCGCAGTGTCACTGAGACAGGCTTATGAATAAACACACACTGCCAACAATGTCACAACCAATTCAGTCGCACACTAAATTAAGTCCTCACCTCTGAAGGACATGAAATCCTATAGGCCACGGCTGGAGGAATTACTGTCCTACAAAGGCATGATGTAAGACGATTGCAGAATTGTGTGTGTAATGTGTGTCTTACAGCTTTAGAAGTGTGCTATGTATGTGTGTGGTTACCTTCAATGAACTAGAAGATTCCCAAAAGTAATAAATGACTGACAGAACAGTCATTGCCAATTTGAGGGATTTCAGACTTATAATGAAGGTGGACTATAACCATAAATCTTTCTTTCTCTCTCTCTCTCTCTCTCTCTCTCTCTCTCTCTCTCTCTCTCTCTCTCTCTCTCAGTGCTGTTCAACTTGATTCCTGTGGGCCTGAGGATAGTAGCCATCCAGAGCACTAAGACAGGTCTCTACATCGCCATGAATAGTGAGGGCTACCTGTACACTTCGGTAAGTTATAACCATTATAATTCTATCTGTTCAATTCCACTGGTATCTCTAAATATCATTCTATTATGCATCATTAATAATAGATTATTTAGCTCTTCAAGCACAATTTTTATGATCAAAGTCTGTTTTTTGCCACTTACAGTATGCTAGTGGTTTCTAGCTAGGAACTCTAAAAATATACCATTTGTGCTATATTGTTCAGTTTAGGCCCATAATCAGAACCACATATGGGCTGTATTTCAACTTGCAGTCCCACTGCAGCAGGAGGAACACTAGGAGGGTCATGTAGGCTAGGCTAGTGATAGTCATATCATCCCTCTTGACAACCAATGCTGCCCACTAAAAGACTCATATAAAGCAGGCTAAACTTACTCAAGCAAAGACATTGCTACTTTAGTGAAATAATGACTTAAATGAAAGTAAAAATTCTTTTCAAAAGCAAAACAGTTCAATAGAAGTACAATAAGCCAAAAAGAACCCTGAAGTACTGAGTAACCTAAATAACTGAAGTGGACCTTCTTAGTGCATCCAGCATTTTTCAGCATTAGATCTGAGCTCTGAACAAGTTCTATTTTCATCTCTTTATGGGATCCTTTTCATAAAGCTCCAAAAGGTTGAGGTGTAACCAATCACAAAGCAGCACAGATGATGTCACCAATGTGACTAAGATGTATCTGAATAAAAAAATATTATTTACCTGAGTATGGGTAAAAGATTTTGAAATATTCAGGAAAGTATAAATTAAAATGCTACTTGGCTACATGTAACTGAGTAATTAGTCACTAGCCATCTCTGCCCAATAATAACAGTTTTCTAGGAGAAACACTAGTAGTTGCAGAAAAAAAAGATTAATTAAAAAAGATTTAGATTAATAACTGAATAAAGCCCTGCAGTGGTTAACATTCTTTTGTTTAAACTTGGTTTTACTAAGAATGCATGTGAAATTAAGAAGAAAATGATGATATGATGGGATAATATGAAGCAGCCCTGTCTCTAACTTTAATCTAAACATTTGTGGCATTTATGTAAACAGTTTTTTTTGTATTTATGTAAAAGTACATTGTCCATTGCTGTTCAGAGTCTACTGTGCTAGAGCTTCCTATCTCCAGTCCAGGAGGCCTGCAGGCGTTACACAGTATTATCTTTTCCCTGCACCTGACTCACATCATTAGCTAATGATCAGACCCGTCTAGTGCTGAGTCAGGTGTGTTAGAGCAGGAAAAACACAAAACTGTGCTGTGCAGGTGGGCCTCAAGGACTAGACTGGGTAAACACTGCTGTGTGCTCAGGCTGCACAATATATTGTTTGTTAATCGCTATGACATTATTGGTCTTTGCAACACTGATATAGCAGAAGGCTGAAATATGTAAATGAGCTTCTAAACAATATGAAATGTTATGAGCACCCCAACACATATGCTCTGAATGAGTTTCTGTGTGTGTTTGGATGAATTAATCATATATTATAAATCCAATTCAATTAAATTTTATTGTCTTTATGCATACAGGGGGTGCAGTATAACGAAATATTCTGTACGAAACATGTCCTCCGCTAGTGCATAAACATTAAGACAAGGACATGAGTGCACATGTATTAGTTTAATGACAAACAGTATGTAGTCACAACATAAGCACCACAATAAATAGACAATACAATAAGTAGGCAATTGACAATAAATACAAAATAATTTACTGACACAGAAGTGTACTGGTGCATAGAAAGTGCAAAATATGTGTGTCAAATCTTCAGAGGGTAGTCAACCCAAAATATGCATAATATGTACAGCAATTTTAGAGGTGGTGTTTAGTAACCATGGTATTCGTGTTAGTTCAAGTGTTCAGTCCAAGTACTTAGAAGTCAGTCAGCAGTTCCGAATGACAATGAAGTGCAATGTGCATATAGTTTGTGTGGTTTTGTATTCATGATCGGGTGGGCGCTGTGGGGGTGACCAATTTACTAGCTTGAAGGTAGAAACTGTTCTTGAATCTGGTGTGTCTGGCTTGAATGTTCTGATATCTCCTCCCAGATGGCAGCAGGTGGAACAGGAAGTGGCTGGGGTGTGTGGGGTCTGAGATGATACTGCTGGCTTTGCTCAAACATCTTTTATTGTAAATGCTCTATATGAGTGGGAGGGCAGCTGCAGTCATGGACTGGGCAGTTTTCACCACCCTCTGCAGGGCCTTCCACTCCACGGCAGACTCTCTTTAGTCTCCTGAGGAAATGAAGGCATTGTCGGTGTGACATTTGACGTGTAAATGATATCATAAATGCAGTATGCAATATGTGGAAATCTAGCAACAGTATTGGAAATGAATGTACATATCGTGTAGTCATACTTTATACTGCTGTAAAAGTATGACAGTATATGAAGGATTCACTAATGTGTTTTGATGTAAGTCATATCATAATTACGGTATGTAGCAATTTAATCGCAGTATGGAATTTTGTGTAAATATTGTGCGACCCTGCTGCTATAATAATCATTATAATATTAGTAGTAATGACAAACATTATTTATATTGCACCTTTCATATGTTACGTAGCTCAAAGTGCTTTACAAGGATAAAGCAAATAAAAGCCAACATCATAGCTATATTGAATATCATCACTTTCAAAAATGCCATGTATCTCCAAAATGATCATTTTACAGGAGAAGCTAAAAACGGTCTTAAATTTTAATGTAAGTTAATGTTAATAGATTTTATTTTTAGTCATTTTGGAACATTTCTATTGGTCCATTCATCAACAGGTGTTTACACAATGTAAAGGACAGCTACTGTACACATCCTCTACAGAGAACACACTTCTGCATATTTTAATGCACAATTATTGAATTTAACGTATTGAAAAATGATCATAAAATGTGGCCTGTGCAAAAGTTATAGCACATTTTACATTTTACATTCTCTTGTTCCTCAGTGTTACACTGAGCAATAAATACAAATTGTGCACTAAAATTTGCAGAAAAATACATAACTAAGTTTTTCCCTGTAGAAGAGATGTTGACTTTTTTCATTTAGAAAATGGTGCAATTTGTGTGGGGTGTTCAAACCTTTCTATTAAATCAGTGTGTTGTATCTGACAAAACATGCTGCTGTAGTAGCAGTTGTACTGTCTGTGTGTGCACGTGTGGGTGTTAAAGTAAAAACAGGATTCGTCGGCAGACTCTTTTTTCATGGTACTCCACGTGAGCTTGACACATGTCCCCTGTAGAGGTGCTGAATAAGAAAGAGTAAAGAGCAGGGAGGAAAGATGTGAGTGCAGGAAAACATCCTGTTCCCTCTCTCTTACCTTCATGAGAGCCAGTCTTCTGCCTTTTGAAGCAGATCTTTACACACTTCAAAGGAGATATACTGCCAGCGTGCACTTCTGTAGCAGCCAAGCTTACAGATATGACGCATGTAAGGTATAGACACCTCATGCACACACACACACTCGCACAGACCATCTCTACTCGATCAGACTCACCTTGTGTTAGAGAATGTTACACTGTTTCATAAAGGATCTACAGAGAGTCTGCAGAGGCCCTTCCAGCACATCTATCATTCTGACAGAGCTCTCTTTCATCCTTACCGTGTGTGTGTATTTGTAAGTGTACACGTGTATGTACGCCTGTGCGTGTGTGTGAGAGTGAATGACTGAGATAAAAGAGTGAAATAGATCTGTCCAAATTCGCAGATGTCAAAGTCTTCAAATCTGACTCTGAAGCTTTAGAAGAAAGTCCAGTAGCCAGTTACACCTGCTTCAGTCATAGCCTGGTTTGAATGTAAACTGCCCCTATATTTGAGTTTACAAGCTACTAAAATTTAAAAAGCAACACCAAGTAACATATATAAGGGCTTTAAGTTATAAAATTTACACTTATCATTATCAAGTGCAACGCCTTTGTAGGAAAGTCTGTTCATTCAGCAGCAACATAGTTTACCTGAACTAAATAAGTAAGATGAACTTCAGGGATGAACCAACAGGGTTGTGTGCTTTACAAACTGAAAATATGTTGACATTAAATAAATTACTTCTTTTATTTTTAAGTAACTGGTTTACATAAAATAGACAAAAATGTATGAAAATACGTTTCAATGAATGAAAACTGTTTACACCGATGCACAGAGAATTTAATTCTAATTAAACTCAAATAAATTGCACTGAAATGTCACAAGTTCTTCCCTGTGGGGAGACTTGTTGGACTGGCCATGACTGGAATAGCTCATTCCAGCTCTTGCTCCTCTCTGACTCCACCCCAATACTACACACACATCTAAGGCTTGTTATGGGGATAACATATTGGGAAAAAAAACATAAAATAACTTTTGCACAGGCCACATTTCATATTTTATCTCCCCAATATGTAACTGTGCATTAAAATGTTTAGAAGTGTGTTGTGTATAAAAGATGTATTAACTTATTTTCACTTAGAAAATCAACATATAATGCGTATGGGACATATTATATATATATACAAATGGGACATATTATTAATATATTTAGGCTTTTGCACATACATAAAACACATGGGACATATTATAATATATAGGTACATATATTTATATAAAATGTATGCGATATATTATTACATTCAGGTATTTACAGATATTGTCGCTGTCCAAAAAAAAACAAGTATCTTGAAAATAGTAACTTTACAGGAGAGGGCAAAAACGTTCTTTACTTCCAATGTAATTTAATTAAATTTTATTCTAAGCAATTTTGGAGCATTTCTTTTGGTCCATTCATCATGAAATTTTCACAAAATCTAAAGGCCGACTGCTGAGCTCAAATGATGCAGAAACATAAAAATCATATATGATACATGTTTTTCATTGGACAGTGACAATATGTAATGCATATAGAATATATACATGACCCTATGTCCTAAAAAGCTATAAAAACAAGCGTGTGTGTGTGTTCAGGTATTATTTCAGGTAGTGTTGCTGCACTGCTAAAGTGGGTAACTTTGGAGTTACTCTGCTGACAGATGGTGGTGAATGTTAAAATGTTTTCC